CAAATGGTGCAAAGTTACCAATCAGAGAGAGCAGGGAGGACTGGGGACAGATGAAAAGAAGAATTGGGGCCTTCTTTGCAACCACCCATGCCATAGAGTCCATTTCTGAATTGGCATCTCAAGGCGTGTGTTGAAAGGATTCATATCATCCCTGATCCCGCTGATAGATCTGATCTTTGCACAAAATATCTGCTGAAGCGTTAGCGCCAACAACATCTTGGGAAAAGATCCCCAGCCTGGTGAGGAAAGCATGGGCTTTGAACTATCCTTACGGGGTAGGAATAACAATGAACGATTCCTGACTTGCCCCATAAGATGGTCCCTTGCTTAGAGGCTATAAAATTAATCAGCCACAAAAGTGATATTAAAACTGCAATCCTATTGCCTCTCAGCTCATTACAAACTAAGGCCCAGGGTATAAAGGCATCGGAAATTCTCTCCAAACCAACTGAACAGTAAGAATTAACACTGTTAGAAACCCTGTTGTTCTGCTAAAGCCAAATGCCTAAGAAGACAAAAAAGCAGAATATCTCAAAGCATGCCACAGCAATGAGAACTATTGGGTTGCACATGAGCAAAGGCACAACGCGCATCATCACCCAGCAGATGTGAAACAAAGTAGCTCTAAATGAACCAAGTCTTCTCGGGCTCGGGCTATTGGCTTGGTAAGACACCCCAACTCATATGTCCAACTCGCTAGTCTCCATGTCTACTAACAAGACACACCTGAAAGTCAGATGATATTTTGGTTTTTTGGAAACTATTTACTTTGTATTAGCTGATAAAATATACATTGCTTAAAAAAATAGGTATCCCAGAGATTGGGTGCTCTATAGACAAAAATCCCTTACGAGGGAGTATCAAAAAATGCTCTACTTAAGCTGTTGTTTACTTACAAAAAGTGTGGGGAGCCCACTACTCAGGAGAGTGCCGTAAAAGTCACATGATGGGGCTGACAGGACTGGGATGCTCCTGCTTTAGCAAGGGCGTCTGCTGCTGAGCATGCCTCGCATCACGCATGTCGCCATTAGGCTAGCATAAGCTTGCAAAGGTGGAGGATTTCGTCAAAGATGTGAACCCCAATGATGGATGATTGTTGAAGATAGTCACAAAACACTTGTTTCCCTAGGAGGGCCAGATCAAACCCAAGCCCAAGATTTGAAGCACTGCAAAAATGAAATTTCATTGCTTTGGTACCAAGAAAGAAGGGTGTGGAGAAACTTAAATACTATAGACCCATTAACCTGCCAAATAATTTGTATTCATACAAAATAATCTCCAAAGTCTTGGCCTAACATTTGCAACAGGTCTTATCATATCCCCAATGCAAGGTGCATTTGTCCAAGGCCTTGAAATTTTGGATTGAACATTGATTGCTCACAAATGCATCCACACTAGACATCAATCAAATTCCACAGATCTGGTCCTCAAACTACATTGAGAAAAGGTGTATGACCAGGGCTGTTAAGAGGCCAAGCCTGGCCCGAGACAGTAACAGGTGTTATACTCCCTTGTGAGATCCGAGGGGTTTGCCCGATTCAATGAAGAGATTGTTGTTTTGTAGGGGACGACGTTGGTGTAGACCCCAAGTTGCAGGAAGAATCTCTTAGCCATGCCATCCTAGACCCTTCTAAGGAGGCAATTCATTTTGAAGAATCTCTTAGCCATGCCATCCTAGACCCTTCTAAGGAGGCAATTCATTCCAAGATCAGGGAATGGCAAGTTGGTGTGGACGCCCTCCCCTTCGGATTCTTTTCTGGTTTTCTTTTCACCATCTGGTCCTCAGCCGGACAGGCTAACCAGGAAACAAACCCACAACCTTAGCTGACAGTCAGGGTGGAAAGGATGTTAATTCTATTATCTCCAATGTGATCTTTTCGGCCCATAACCATAAGGAGTTCAGGTGTTGTGTCAGAGAGTACAATTATCTTGAGATCTACCGTTTGGATACCCTGTCAGGCAGGCAACATCAAATTGAACTTCAATAGATTTTCCTTCAGTAATCCTAGCCCGCTGGGGTCAAGATACCTTGTCTGAGATAGCTCATATCAAACCCCACGCTCTTATTCAGGCCCAATTGGGACAGTGGAATCTCCCATGGTTGAAACTGGGTCCCTCTAGAGGTAAGGGACTCTAACATCATCTCATAGAGTTCTGAATCTCACCCCGTCCCTGGAGGTTAGAACTGACAGGATATATGCAAATTAATTTTCAGAACATTGTCACAGCCCTAGTTGAAGCCCGGCTCTTCGACCGTGCGGCACTGGTTCCTTGGTCCATTAAGGACAAGTCAGCCTTCCCACAGACGTGTACCAATCGAGCACAAAGTGCTATCCACTAGTGTGCACCACCCACACTAGCTTCACCCACAAATATGCACTACACACACAATAGATGGAAGCCAAGCACAACAAGAGAGGGACACAAGAGTTTGGCCCAAGGGCCTTATAAATCCACTATAACCAAGGAATCTTTACAAGAGTATTCCTCAACCTTCCCAAGTTGGTTACAAATGAGGGGTCCAACCCTATATATAGGCTCAAGGCCTTACAACCGATGGTCAAGATACATCCACATGTCACACATCCGACAGCTAGGAACCCTCTAGCCTTTACAAAGCTCTAGAGCCTTC